CCTTTGACAGAATTACTGGTAATATCGCAGCTTAACATTAAACTTAAATTAAACACTAATCTACTCATACCATTACGAAATTTCATTGATGTTACTTTAGTAGATTCCTTGCATGAATCACACTTATCACCACTTTTACTGTATCTGTTCACGCAGATTGCCGAGGACGCCCCACACCTCAGGGAATGGAGCAAGAATAGAGGGGGTCTGTTGAAGTCTGCAGCAAGACGGGAGGAAGGGCGCTGGAGGAGAATTAGTAAAATCTGGAGAGATGTAGCTGATCTGGTTCATGTTTCTAGCTTGATTTTTAACGGTCATAATCGGATTCCCGTGTCCTTCCCTCCCCTATCCCCCTTTCCTGCAGCGAACAACCGGGCTCACCTTGGAACCTGGTGACGGGCTTCCCTTCCCGATACGTGCACGGAGCCAGGTAGCTGCGATAACCTCGGTTATCTTCCTTGTCGCTGGTAAGCTGGTGCTACCCTTGTGGCGCTCGGTAATATGTTCTTGTGCACACGACACATCTGGAGTGACAGCTGATGCACACGGCACTGTGTATGGTCTCACAGGCAAGAACACTGGGGTATTGGCTTAGATATTTTATGGCATGCGGGGGTGCAACTAGATGCATAGTTTTATGGATGGCTTAAAAGGCATACTGATAGTTTTCTATGAGTAAAGTAAAATCGGTGTTGTGTATTTTGCGTTATATCAATGAAACTATTCAAGATACTTAAGCGGAACTAAAACATTGTACGACTTCCCTGCATATCGTTTAATACAAATGGTCAGGAAAACTGATACTTATGAACGTAATCGCAGCTCAAATTGCCAGGAGAGTGAGGGACCCTTGGTTGTTGAATAAGATAGTGTTATTGACCCTGAGAACTGAAATTCAAGTGTGAACTCGTAGGTGATGCCCACACACTCATTTGTGTTGTTTCATTCTGAGAAAGTATTAATCATATATAAACACTGCGTACATCTGGAAGGCTTCATACGAATAACACACACAGACAGACATGTATACACATTACAGGACACGCGCAAGCACACACACACACACACACACACACACACACACACACACACACACACACACACACACACACACACACACACACACACACACACACACACACACACACCACTCGCAGACGCACATGCACGTAAATGCAGACGCATACACATACAAACATGCTCACAAATAAGCCTCAAATTTTCACGCGATGCGGCGAGAACGGCGAAACCGTCACTGCCGATGATCTCCGTGCCGTCGATAGGTGCTTATATTTTCGATTCATATCATAATAAATCTATATCATGCGTAACGGTCGAGGTCGTTTTCTTATTAGAGATTAATTTTCAGTACATGGAAAAACAAGCACTAGACATATTCCGTCCAGACATTGCAAATGGAATGACATATCTTGACTAAAATTTACACGGCTGCCATGGTCGAAAAACACTTTATAGTCAAATACTCGTTTTCATGGCAAGATATATGAATTACTTTTAATGGGTTGCAATGTAATTGATCTAGAATTTAGTTCAAGAAAAAAATAATCGTGCATGTAAGCAGCAACTATTCGTGTGTTACAACATCGACCAAGTACCACACCTTATCTTAGTCATCAATTCGCTTTTTAACAAGGGCAATGAACGCAATAAATTACTATACATAATCACAATCTATTGTTCCGAGAGATTACCTTCTGTGACCGAAGAAAGGCCTTTATGCGATTGCCTTTGCTACTCTTGCCGCCTGCCCTTCTGTCGGGCTGTTTGTATGTTACTCATCTCATAAATTATTCTCTCTGTTCCTCCTTCTTCCCCTCTTGTTTACCAAACAATACCCCTTATCTTATGCGGAGTAATGTAATTCACAATCTGTCATCACAGATGTTTGTGTCCTCAGGCATTAAAAGGGAAAGGGTAAAAGAATAAAAGAAAATAGGAAATAACTTAATAACTTAATAAAAGAAAAAGGCCAAACTGAAAAAAACCCAGCAAATAGCAAATAAGTAATATCTATTATCATTACGGCTATCATGCATTACGGATAGTTCATTTTGCTGAAATGCCGTGACTCTTTCTTACGCTTCAAGTAACAAACTTGTTGAACTTTTACTCTCCTTCAGTGTGGAGCTGAGCTTTTCCATTTTCACGCTCAGTGACAATGGCAGAATGACATGCTAGTCATGATACTGAAATGAGTATTGCACTAGTGCTACTACTATTAATACTACTACTGTTACTACTACTACTACTACTACTACTACTACTACTACTACTACTACTACTACTACTACTACTACTACTACTACTACTACTACTACTACTACTACTACTACTATTACTTCTACTGTTACTACTATTGCTACTACTACTGTTACTACTACATTACTACTACTACTACTACTGCTGCTGCTGCTACTATTACTACTACTACTATTACTAATACTACTGCCGTTTCTACTAATAATAATACTATTACTAA